AGGCAATTCACTCCACTCCCTGCCCTATACCATAGCCTGACAAAAATTTTCCCCTTAAAATGTTTATCCAATTCACTTTAGAAATCTCTCACTGAACAACCTCCAGCAGGCTTTCAGGCACTGCATTCCAGATTTACCTCAGCCCTCTGCATATACCTTGTCAAGTCACCCAAGAAGCTTGTATGATTCAATAAGATCGCCGCATTTTTCTTACTCCAATGAGTATCGGCCCAACTTATTCAACCTCGCCTCATAAGACAGACCTTCCATTTGCTCCCTGGCATTCAATAAGATGATGTCTGATCTGATTTTGACTTCAACTCTACATTCTTGCATACCCTCCAATAATCTTCATCCCCTTGATAATCAAGAATCTATTTACCTCTGCCTTAAAATATTTAAATATTCCAGTGGTTTTTGAGGAAGTGATTTCCAAAGGCTTACTACCCTTCCGGAGAAAAGTTCCCTCATGACTGTTTAAAATGAGGACCTCCTTATTTTTAAACTATGACCCTGGGTTCTAGATTATCTCACAAGAAATATCCTTTCAATATCCATCTAGTCAAGTCCCTTCAGGATCTTATTTGTTTGAATTAAGTCACCTCTGACTCTTATAAATACCAGAGGATACAGGCCTACTAATCATAGTATTCTCATAAGGTAATCCACTCATTCCAGATATTAGTCCAGACAATCTTGTCTGAACTTCCAATGCATTCACATCCTTCTGTAAGCACGATGATCAGTAATGTACACAGTTGGATGAGAATTTAGGAGGCATGTAAGAATTTAGGAGAATTTAAAAGTATGTAGATGACACCAAAATTGGTAGTGTAGTCTTCAGTGAAGAAGATTATTTAAGATTACAAAGGGATCTTAATCAATTGGGCCAATGGGCTGAAGAGTGGCAGATGGAGTTTAATTTGGATAAATGCGAGGTATTGCATTTTGGTAAAATGAGCAAGGGCAGTACTTACACAGTTAATGGTAGGACCCTAGGGAGTGTTGCTGAACAGAAAGACTGAAGGAGTCAGATACATAATTCCATGAAAGTTGTGTCACAGGTAGCTAAGAAGGGTGGTTAGGAAGGCATTTAGCATGGTGGCCTTCATTGCTCAGACCATTGAGTGTCGGAGGTGGGATGTCATTTTGAGGTTGTACAAGACATTAGTGAGGCCACTTTTGGAGTACAGTGTGCAGTTCTCATTCCCTACTATAGGAATGGTATTACAAAGCCAGAGAAGGTTCAGAAAAGATTTACCAGGATGTTGCCGAGACTGGAGGGTTTGAATTATAGAAAGAGGCTGGATAGACTGGGACTTTTCCCACTGGATCATAGGACAATGAGGGATGACATTATAGAGGTTTATAAAATCATGGCGGGCATTGATAAGGTGAATAGCAAAGGTCTTTTCCCTCGGGTGGGGAGTTCAAAACTAGACAGCATAATTTTAAGGAGACCAGGAGGAAAGATTTAAAAGGCCTTGAGGAGCAACTTTTTCACTCAGATGGTGGTTCATTTGTGGAAAGAATCACCACAGGAAGTGGTACATTCATGTGCAGTTACAACATTTAACAGACATTTCGACACGTGCATGAATGAATAGGAAAGGTTTAGAGGGATATGGACCAAACGCAGGCAAATGGGACTAGTTCAATTTTGGAAACTTGGTCGGAATGGACGAGTTGGACCAAATGGTCCATGTCTGTGCCCAATGACTCTATAATTCCCTGTATATTTGAAGCATTATTCCTCCTATTCTTGCATTCAATGCCCTCACAATAAACCATGACATTCTGTCAGCTGTCACAGTATTCCATGTGCCATATACCTCTGAATATTTAGTTCCCAACTTTGATCTCCTTGTAACAAGTTTAACCTCTAGTTGTGTTGTTAATTCATTTATTTTGTTACAATCACTACTTGCATTCAGATAAAGAGCCATTAATTTTTTTTTTTTTTTAAAAAACCATTTTCTCTCCCTTGACCCCATGTACTCCTTAATTTTTATGTTCATGTGTTCTGTTCCTTCCTTTGGGTATTTTTATCTAAATAACTGTCCTCTTGTTTTGTTAGCCTACATTTCCCCTCTCCCAAATTCTCTCTTTTTCCCCTTCCCAATCATTTAAAACTCTCACAACAGCCATAGTTATTCAACTTGTGAGAACACGAGTATAATATGGTTCAAGTGTACCATGGGAACAACCTGCTTCTACCCATGTACTGGTGGCCAGTGCCCCAAGAACAGTGCCCCATTGCACCCTTACCAATATTTGAGTTGCGCATTTAATTCCTTGATTTAATTTACCCTTTACCAGTTGCCCCATGGCTCAGTTAGTAATCCTGAGATTATTATCTTGGAGGTTCTGCTTTTCAATTTAACTCCTAACTGTAAAGATTTCAGCAGAACCTCCTTTCTAGTCCTACAAATGACATTGGTACCAATGTGAATTATGACTACTGGATCCCTCCTGTCCCTCTCCAAGTTTTTCTCTAACACTGAAGAGATATCCTTGACCCTGGCACTGGGTAGGCAACAGAGTCTTTGGGACTCCCACTCACAGCTGCAGAGTACTATCCTCCTAATTATACTGTCCCTTCAATTGCTACAATCCTATTTCTTCTCCTCAATTGTTTGGCTCATTGCACCACAGTGCCAAGGTCAGTATGCTCACCCTCACTGTAATCCCAACTGTTGCCTACAGTTTGCAAGCAGCGTTGCTGCTGATTTTCTTTTCTACTGCCAGGCCTCCCTGATCAAACCTGAATGACATATACGGAGGGATTTGAGCATCCTCCTGTGCAAGGCGCTCAGATAAATTTCCCCTTCACTAATATGGCACAAAGTCAGCAGTTCAGATTCCAGCTCCTCATCTCCTATCTGAAGTTCCTTGAGCTGCAAACACTTATTACAGATGTGATCATTCTGGATCACTGTTGTGTCCAGCAGCTTCCACACGCTGTAGCAGCAAGATCTCAACTGCCCTGCCATCACTATTTTATTGGTTTAATTTATACATTGATTACTCCAGATTCCCCTATTCTTTAACATTTTACTGTAGTGATTTCTATTTAAAGAAATCACCAATATGAATCTTATACTTAACCAGCTACTTTTTTCTAAAAAAAAAGAGAATAAAAACACTGGAGATCTAAACACAAATTGAAGACTTTACTTTTACTCTACAGACTAGAATTAGACTAAAAGGCTTGTAGGATTGACCAATTCTACTCACCCAATCAGATTCTTTCCCTGTACTTCTGTCCCACCGTGGTTTGTGACATCAATCCACCACAGGTCTTACTACAGATAGACCTCTCGATCCACGCTTTCTATCCTCTTTCACTCACCTCTGGATACTTCTTCCAGTAAACTTTAGTTGAAGCCTCTCTTGCCCCCTTTGCGCCAAATTTCCACTTGAACCAAATTTTCAGTTCACTCACTTGGCCTCTGTCTCAGTCAACTGAAGTCTCCTTCACAAAGACCACGCTCCTTATTTCAATCAAAAAAGGCTCAAAGGATCAAATGGATTTTGTGCTGTTCGTAAATAGTTCTTGCATTAGATTATTCTCCCCATTCTGATTGGAATTCTAGCTCATTTGTTGTTATTCTGACTTATGCTTCCTTACTTTGGGGAAATCTGATTTAGGCTTCCTATCTAACTCCGAGATTGGCATCTACCATAGGGAGACTATAGACATGATCCTGCATCTTACAGAACAACATGCCACCATGATCCAAAGCGCTCTGCTACAACATTGGAGAGGAATCCGATTTCAGCCCCAGAATATACTGCAATTGCAATGTTGCATTTGGGTGACCTAGATGAAGGATCAAGACCCGAGACACGCTGAGGTTGCAAGTAGGGAAGAGATTGCAATAAAAGGGTTTCTTGGCAGGCAAAGAATTCACAACCCAGTAATGACAAATGAGAATAATTTTGAATCCTAAATATGACTTGATTATTAAAGATCCAGGCACTAGTTTGAAATATCTTCCAAAAGTACTGGTAGAGATTTTGAAATACCAGACCATGTAACCAAATCTACTTATTTTGTCACTATAGACTGTCACACTGAGAATGATCTAAAAAATTTGTATTATCTGGCAATTATATTGCTGTTTGCAGAAGCTTACTGAGTACAAAATTAACTGCTGTGTGTCCTACAATACAACAGTATACATCAGAAAGTACTTAATTAACTGTAAAGCACTTTGAGACATCTGCTGGTTATGAAATGCGTATCACTTTAAGGCTGTTATGGTACTCAACCAACAATGAAGAGGTTGCAAACTAAAATTCCATATGATAAATTCTAGTTGGCATCAAAGGAAAAGGCCATGAAAGCTGCTAGATGACTGCTCACACCCAACTCGTTCACAAATATCTTTCATGGAAGGAATCTGCTATCCCTTTTCAGCCTGTGCTACATGCAACTAAATCCTTGCCTTATAATTTGAAATTCTAATGCTTCTGAAGAAGCCTTGCAAGTCACAAAACCCACCACTTTCTCAAGGTTACTTGGCAAAGGTAAATAAAAGTGCATTGCCAGAGACTCCCATGCCATAATAAAACAAACATTAAGATCAGCATAAGTTCATCCACGTTTCGGCAATAATGCATGTAGAGGCGATCAGCCTGGTTGAGTAATCTAAAACACGGGAACAGTGTGTCAGATAAAAAGTTAACCATTTAGGACCAAGATAAAAAGAAACTTCTTCACTCGAAGGTTGTGAATCTTTGGAATTCTCTACCTCAGAGGGTTATGGATGCTCCATATGTTGAATATAATTGAAGGCTGAAGAGACAGATTTTTGGTCTCCCCAAGTAATCAAGGGATCACGTGAGCTGAGTAGGAAAGTGGACTTATAGCCCAAGATCAGCCATGAACACGCTGAATGGTGAAACAGCTCTAATGGGTGGATGGTCTATACCTACTCCTATTTCTTACATTCTTAAGTTTTCCCTCAGCACATATCCAACACTTCACATGAATGCAGATGAAAATAAATAATTTTATTGCGTCATCAGCGTACTTAAGCCACCGATACACTGCTAATAAATAAAATTAATTCATGCATTCCACAGGGGACTGCTGGATCATTCTAAACAACAAGAACCAAATGGATTATCCTACACACAAATACATTAGAAAGCATCACATTAAAAAATTGTCAAAAAGTGATTACAATGAAAATCGTATGTACAGTTGGTACTATATACAATTTGTGCAAATCATATATAAGAACATTCTAGAACATAATGTCAATGAATGAATTACAAGACAAATTTATAAATCAAGTAACGTTTTGTGGCATTGAGTATTTTCCACCCTTTCCCAATTCTGTTTTATCCTTAGCAAATTGTGTCTTTGTTTAAAAAAAATTTCCGGGCATCCTCCCACATCTCCCTGGGGAACCTGTTGGAGAAATCTAGGTAGTCTTGAGCTCCAGGAATTCTCTCTGAAATGAGGACAACAATAAATAGTTAAATAGAACATTTATGCTACTGTTGTTCAGGACAAGTGCACAAAGTGCAATTTTGAAATACTTACCCTTTTGTTGAGAAGACTTATTGTCAGACTGACTCAAACTCTGTGCAAAATCCTAAAATTAAAGAGAAGGGTATTTAGTCATTTGATCAATTTAGTGTTTTTGTATGAATTCTTTACTGCTCAATTTGGTTCTAATGTTCCCCACAGTAGGTTTTGGCTACTCACGAACACAGACCTCCTATGTGATGAAGTAACACAGAGTTTTAGATTGAGAGATACTATGCAGTACTACAGAGATAGCAAAAACCGCAGATGCTGGAGTCAGAGTCAATACAGTGTGCAGCTGGAGGAACACAGCAGGTCAGGCAGCATCGGAGGAGCAGAGAAGTCGACGTTTCAGGTCAAGCCCCTTCATCAGGGCTGGGCCCCCCAAGTCATGATGAAGGGTCCCGACGTGAAATGTCAACTTTGTATGCCAACACTGTATTGATGCAGTACTACACACTATAGAAGAATGTGGTTTAATGTAACAAGATTTTGTTATAGGTCCTTGTGGTCAGAGAAGTATCAGCTATTGCTCTTGATCAACATCTCAGTGGCAACAGTGTAAAATGTTTTTTTAGATCAATATGCCATTGTACATTTGGATGAAGGTGTAATTGGAAGGGGAGTTGCTAGGGTGAACAAGGACATCACAAAGATTATGGTTCCTTCATTATGCTGAAGGAAGAGGGGAAGATAGGTTTGGTGGATTCATGCTACAGGTAACTGAAATGACAGAAAATGATCTGTTGAATATGGAGGCTGGTGAAGTTGGAGGTGAGGATGAGAGAAACCCTCTTGCGCTGTGGGAATGAAGGGAAGGAGTGAAAGCAGAAGTACAGAACATGGTTAAGGGCTGTCTCAACAATGGAGCTGCTTTATTTGAGTCAAAAGGAAGACATATCAGAAGTACTAGTACAAATGTTGGCATTGTCAGAACAGATGAAGACATAGAAGCTATGAAGATAGAAAAGGCCCTTCCAGGAAGTAGGGTGGGACACTGTGAATTCAAGGCAGCTGTGGGAGTCAGTGTGCCTGTAGATTAATTTAGCTTGAATTGTGCATCATCTAACTTGCCTAACAACATTCTTACACATTGAATATTCAGAAATTTGAAGTCCATTATCTATGACTAAGATTGAGATTTTAATCCATGATGATTTCTGTCCCTGGGTACAAGTGGTACTGACCATTATCCAGCATTTTTCTCAACTTGAGGGGCGTAAAACATTTTAATATTTGAATTAAGTTGAGAAATATTAAATGTTCAAATTAAATGTTTTGTTTTAATGATAACGCCCATTGTTTTGATCATAATATGATGCCAGTCATGTTCTCATCACAGTTAGTGCTCCCACAGCTACTTTTCTGCATTTGCATGTCACTCAGTGGTATTTGTATGATTCATGTCTGTACTAGTCCTACAACATTTTGGTATATAATACTTGTCGTGGCATTTGAGCTATGGAGTTACCATGATTGGAACAAATTTAGATTTCTGGTGCAACATCCCTCTTTGCCCAACACAAGCTGAGTTCCTCACATGCGTGGCTTTCATCAATACTCAAATTACAGGTTATATTTTAAAGCCATGAAAGAGTCAGGTGGACAGCTGGCTTTTTGCTTACATTAATGATACTCAGTTATTAAAGTTCTGTTTGAAAGAGATGAAGTTATATTGCAGCTGGTGAAAAACAAAAGACCACTTCTTCTAGGCATTCTCACTTTGCTTGCCAGTTAGTTATGGGTAGCATTGCAACCAACTTATGCCACACACTTTGCTTCAATGCAAAGGGTTATACCAATGAAAGATTTGCCATGTAAAGTGACTGTAAAACCATGTTAGTGAATTACGAATAGAACTGCAGATGCAGACTTCTGTCTGAAGGTCCACTATCCAAGCTGTTGCTGAACTCAGCCTTGCTAAGCCACTCCTTGAGTGGCACTATAATACTGGCTCACGTTTAGAAACATGAGTGGACTGAATGCAGGTACCCTCTCCACCTTTAGCGAGTGAGAAATGTCAGCAGGACACAAACTCACAAAAGAGACAAAGGGAAAGGGAATTCTTTTTTCTTTTCTCTTTCCTACTTATCCTTTTAACTTCATCCTTCTCAGCATCCAAACAGTTCTTTCAATGAAACAGTAAATTACTTGCACTTCTATTAATTCATTGCTGTTGATTCACTGCTCATGATTCAGTCCCTTCTACATCAGGGGGGGAGTAAATGCACACTGTATCACTATTTTCCAGAACTTCTCCGTTCAGTCTGCAAGTGTGACCCTAAGGTTGAAGTTATCTGTCATTTCAATAGCCTGTCCCATTCTGACCCTTCAGTCTTCAGTCTTCCTATACTGTTGACTGAAACTCAATGAAAGCTTGAGACCGTCATCATTTTCTTAGGCATGTTGCAGCTTTTCAGACTCTATTCAGAGTTCAATGTTTTCAGATCATAGCCTATTGTTGCCATTTTGTCGATTGGCAGCTTTTTAAAATAATACTGGTGTTGCCATTTATGCCTCCCTTACATCCATCCATTGTTTTGTCATGTTACATTACCATCTTCTTTTGCCTCGCACCATCACCCCAGTATTTAATTATGTCTCTCTTGCTTCCACCTTATTACACATCTTGCAATTTGTTTCCACCCCATCTTGGTGAAAACCTGCTACATTACCAAACTTTCTAATGAAAAGTAATCAAATGACTTGAAAAGTTAACTGTTTCTCTCTCCATTGATGCTGCCTACCATGCTGAGTATTTCCAGCATGTTTTTGTTCAAACAAGAGGTCTCATCTGTCATGACTGACGGTTTAAAATATTATGACCCCTGTTTCACCTGGTCATCCATCTCAACCCCAAATTCTCACAGGCATAGGCATTTTCAAGTTGAACAAACAAACCTGCCTCTATCAAGCTCATTACTTTTGTGGGTCCAAATTACTGCTCCAATTCAATGTGAGGCAGTCACTCCCTCCTTCCTCAAGCTTTCTGACAGGGATATACCTCTATCCTAAGATAAAACGCATTCGTTCCCCAGGTGTAAAGAGCCATTAGGCTGTGCACATTCTTGATATAGTCATCTGCAAATACCACGACCAAAATATAAAAGAGACAGTACGTGAAAACAGATGAATTATATTGTAACTTTTGCTTTGGTTGTTTGTAATTTTAGTCCGCTGGTGTCTCCTTTACTAGACATTTGGACAATGCCGAGCATTCATGATCTACCCTTTTGAGCTCTATCATTCAGTGTAATTTCTGATGATCGGGCAAAGGATATTTGTGCTGGTGGACTGAACATTTTCTAATCAGAATTTCCTTGTTTTTTTTGTTAGTGTCGCTGGCAAAGCCAGCAACTGTTGCTCATCCCTAGTTGCCCTTGCATTGACTGTACCTTTAGGCAATTTCAGAGGGAAGCTAAGATTTAACCTTCAGTCACTTGTGGGTCAGACAAGGTTAGGATACCAGACTTCCTTCCCTAAAAAGACATCACTGAATCAGATGGGTTTTTACACCAAATGACAATGGCTGCAAGTTAACCGTTAAACTAGCTTTTTAATTACAGATTTTGCCGAATTAAAATTTCACCAGCTGTCATGGTGGGATTTGAACCCATGTCCTTACAGTTTCTGTCTCTGGATTATTAATGCAGTGACATTATTAATATCCCACTGCCTCTCCCATTAAGCAAGGCCTGATTTAATGCAGACTACACACACCACCCTGACTTGTAATTATATTGCCGATCCTTCAATGTTGCTTGGTTAGAATTCTGGAATGCCCCTTCCAACAGCACCGTGGATAGACTACAGTGGTTCAAGAAGCATGTGCTCGAAGGCAATTAGTGATTTACAATAAATATCAGTGTTACAATAGTGACACTGACATCCCAAAAATAAATAAGAAAAGTCTGTGTTTACCATCAACGTCACTGCTAAGTGCTGCACCAACTGTGTATGCACAGATACACAACATTGCAGTGTGTACTCACTGTAAAGTGACAGAAGAGCAGTTGTGTGCCATACAGGGCACAACAACCAAGATCAGTCAATGCACTTCCAGCAGGCACAATAAATTCAAATTCATGAGGTGACTCCCACGTGTAAAAAGATCATGGGGCAGTTTTTCAAAACTAACACAAATGTCGAAAAACCTTCTGATAAATTGCTGCATCAGATTGAGGCAAGAAATGATTGTTACAAATATACAAGATTAATGCCTGGCCTTTTTTAAAAATAAAAATTAGACACAAAATGAAAACAGAAAAGGAACCATGTTTGGGAAGTTTGAATTTCACGCTATTCAATAATGCTGCCCAGATTCTCATTGATATAGATGAACAAGAATGAACTGGTCATAGCACAGGTGCTGACATTATCTGCATATCGACATGTCCACAAGTGACTGGCATAGACACATGGCTAACTGACATCCCATGGCCCTGTGTGCATATGCAGGCTCCAGTGGCCATCTTCGGCAGTCATCTTTGGTATTGGGAAGACTTACTCAGTTAGGTGTATGGCATCTGGTCTCTGCTGGCAAGACACACCTCTAATTGCCTTTCAGAAAGTGGGATGAACTGTGATGTGTATGCTTACAGTGCTGTAAATAATGGAGTTCCAGGTTTTTATCCAGTGACAGTACAGGAACAGTGGTACATTTCCAAGTTAGGATGGTACATGACTTGGAGGGGATTTTGCAGGTGATAGTGCTCCCATGCAGCTACTGCCTTTGCCTTTCTAGGTGGTAAAGGTCATGGATTTGAATGGTGTTGGAGGACCCTAACTTAGTAGCTGATTCAGTGCATAGTTAAATGACAAATTTGCAGAAGAACGGGAAGAACTTGCGAAACACTACAAAAATTCTGCATTCTGTTTGCTAAATTTCACCCCTTTATCTTTTCTGCTGTGTGACTCCACAGGTGTTAGTTGTCAAAAGTATCACCAAATGACTACTATTCAAATGGCAGGTAGACAGCAAGAGTGCAGAGGCTGTATGCCACAGTGGGTGTGTCAGCTTAACATCTCCTATCCTCATCCAACATCTACATCTATAGCAAGGGTTACAGGGCAGTGATTGGAAATGGTTGCCTTAAATAATTTTTTGATTTGTGTGAGGTTGATAAGACCATCGGTGGCAGACATACTGCAACTCTATTCCCCCAACCACCGCCCCACCCCCCAACCCCACCTTCTTCTGTCAGCAATTTAACCAACATTTGATGGCTTACAGATGTGGATGTGAGACAGTGAACAAGCACACACAGGCCACTGCTGTTCTGACCAGCTGGCAGCGTAGAGCTGCTAGTATTACTGAGCATTGTTGGGTCATGTGCACATATTTACCTGAATAAAGGTAGCTAGCAAAATGCAACTCATCTCCTGCTCCAAGATGACCTTGTTCTGTGGGTTGTTGTAACAAGCTGTTATTAATGTTGGAAACAGGACTTTGATCAACCGTTGATCACTGAAGTACTGAAAAGGCAGTTGGCAGAGTTTCTGAAGGACTGTGGGGTGGCGGCCAGATTGCACTGTTAGCTAAGAAAGCAAAAACAATATAATGTTTATAAAGATGTGGCAAAACCAAGTAAAACAATCATATTACATACAAGTCTAAAGTATGTTAAAAAATGCAGTTGTATCTCAATGTACCTCATTAGTGTCTGTGTATTGTATACATCTATAATGTAAACATGTCACATTGTAATTACACCCTCCTACCAGTGGCATTGCTGTAGCACCTTGTTTCCTTCTCAGCCCCTTAATGTGAACCAAAGAGAAATCCTTCTGTCCCAATCAATAATGTTTCTCAGGTTTCTGTCTATTTTTAAATCTACTTTTTGATAATAAATATTGATGAGATCAAAGTTTTATGCAGGAATACATGTCTTTAAAATAAGGATTTAATTATGCCTGCAGGCCCCTGGTCTAATTATTCCCTGCTGCACTTCACGTGAAGATTACACTGCCAGCATGGACCACAAGGGATTAAGTAGTGAGAAAAAAGGAAGTAAATACAAACAGAGTAGAAACAAAAATGATGAAAGCACACAAGGTCCTCTTATACCTGAAGGAGAAAGTAGGTTAACGTTTCAAGTGGGAACTTTCATCACAACCTATCATCTGCTTTCAAATTCAATTTGCCCACCCTTGTTTTTCCAATAGCTTCCATTTCATTCCAGATTTGCAGTTTTCCATTCTACCTTCAGCTTAATTAATGGCTGAATGAAGCCGCAGATTCAAATGCTCTGGCACACTGTGTAAAATTTAGCTAAACTCAACCAAAAGTGGGTGTGCAGTTGTTGCAAATTGTTGACACTGCGTCAAAGAAAACAAATGGAATGTGAGACAACACAGATGTCATAGAAGAGAAGGAATGGTTACTTCCAAATAATTGTTTTTCACCTAGGAAGGTCATAGACGACATGGCAGATGCAACAGTTCTGGAATGTCCTAGTCTGCAACATAAACACCCTGAAGGAATCCTGGGGTATGTCTGTAGTTTTAGTAATAAATCCACTAGCTGTTACAAAAGTAAAGATTTAATTGGGAAATTCCAGGATCTGTGGTCTGTTGCATTTGTCAATGTCAGCTGCTGGACTCAACCATGGTCAAATATCAGAGAGGGGCACTTGTATTTCCAGCATTTATTGTCCATCACTAACTGTCCTTGAGGAAGTGATGGTGAGTTGCCCTTTTGATACTGAGTGTTTTGCTAGCCATTTTGGATTGCATAGAGAGTCAACCAAATTGCCATCGGTCTACAGTCACATTCAGGTTAGACCAAATAAGGATACCAGAATTCTTTTCCTAAAAGTCAAAGTGAGTTCAATTTTTTTTTCTTCACAACAACAATCTAGCATTTTCACAGTCACTGTTTCAAGTACAATTAGGGATGGTCAATAAATGCTGGCGACGTCAGTGTCACCCATAATTTAAACAAAAAACAGTGCTACTAATTCTATTCTAGATAATTTGTTCTTTTATATGATGTACTTATTACTAGTAAGGCTAACCCTAACTGTCCAAGAGCAATCACTTTGCTGTGGTGATGTAGAGTCAAATGTAGGCCAGATCTAAAAGACATGAGTGATCCAGATGAGATTTTATGATAATAGAGGGTAGTTTCATGATCGTTTAGCTGATAACGGAAGGATGTTACATTTCAGTTATACAGAGCATTGGTGAAACCATGTCTTGAATACACTGAAAATTTTGGTCTCATTTAAGTAAGAATATAAATGCATTGGACATGGTTCAGAGGCATTTTTTATAAATTGAGACCTGGGATGGGTGGTGGTTTTATGAGGGAAGGTTGGGTAGACTGGTCTCATATTCATTGGAATTTCGAACAGTGAGCAGTGATTTGATTGAAGAATGTATGACCCTGAACAGTCTTTATAAGGTGGATGTGGCATGGATATTTCCTCTAGTGTGTGAACGCAGGACTGGAGGGCCCTGTTAGGAAATTAGGGGTCACTATTTTTGGACACAGAAACCAAGAGTTATTTTTCCCCTCTCAAAAGGTTGAGAGATTTTGGAACTCAGAAGGCATTGGAGACAGCTTCACTGAGTATTTTCAAGTCAGAGGTGGATGGATTCTTGCTAGTCAGGAATCAAACATTTTTGGTAGTATATAGGAATGTGGAATTTTTAACACAAACAGATCGGTCATGATCTTACTAAATGGCGGTGCAGGCTCAAGAGGCCAAATGTCAGCATTACTGAAACTAGCTTTCAATTTAAGAGTTAATTTAAATTGTACCAGCTGACGTGGTGGGATTTGAACCTGTTCCCCAGACTGTTAGCCCAGACCTCCAGAGTGCTAGACCAGTGAAATTAAAACTCCGTCACCATCTTAATTTCATGCAGTGAATTTAAATTGCTCTGCCATGGTGAGATTCAAATTCACATCTCTGGATTATTAATCCACAACTCCAGATTACTAGTCCAGTAATATAGCCACTATGCTAAATTAATAGTCATTAAACTCCTCTTAAATCAATTAGGATATTTTTAAAGTGTAGTCACTTGCATAAGTAAGGAAATACAGCAACCAACTCTTATACAGCAAGCTTCCACAAACTGCAAAGATGATATTGGCTGAAGGATAAATATTTCAAGTCAGAGTCTTACGCCGTCAACATATTTTCAATTATTGCCTCAGAGACAACGACCTGTACTGCACTGGAGCAGTTCACCATTTCTTTGTCCAAATTGTCACCACGGTCAGTGAGAGGGTTTTCTGCCTCTACTCTTGGTAAGGGTCATCAGATAGCAGTCAGGACTAGGGATCTTGGTTGATTCTCCCCATTCTGTGTCCAGGTACCTGAACTGACTGTGATGATTCAGCAGCTGACTTGACTGAAAAGCAGCTAACTCCCTGCACTGGGCAACCTTGCTTAGTACTGGGGCTCAACACTACAAAAAAACACTAAACTAGAACCTTTCAAATCTGACTGTCAACTTCCTGCAATGTATGTTATGTGGCAGGACTGATACTAATTTCCATCAAATCAGAGGGAAACAAAGAATGAAGCGTTCACAGTTCTTAACATCTATTACAACCTAAAATTTATAAGAAATTTTGCAAATGCTCTATTTCCACTGGCATTTCATTATGGACTTCTGATAAATGAATATTTAGAAGAAAAAACAGTCATCACTTAGGATGACCAGACTATTAGAATTCTCCAATACAACCCACAACCTATCCCACCCCCAACCTTTTAGCAGCCAAGTTGACCGAACCTAATGACGCATGAACAGATCTGGTCTCTGAAGGCACAGAGGTATACAATCAATTCCACTTCCCCCAGCACAGAATGCAGCATCACTTTGCTGCATGGGGAATGTAGTGATCCCCTGATCAATTTGCAGAGATTTTCAAACATCATACATTAACAAAAACTGTGTGTGTGTGTGTGTGTGTGTGTGTGTGTGTGTGTGTGTGTGTGTGTGTATATGTGTGTGTTGGAGGGGTGCGGGGGTGGGAAAGGAGGCTTGAAGACACTTTAAAAAAACTCCAGTGATGTCGCCATTCGTTCTCCTTATCAGTGCTCTCATCAGTTTAGTCGAGTCCAAGAGTAAGACTGTTTAGACTAATGGGACTTGTCATAAAGCAGGCCAAGTTTACAGAGAGACTTGCACACATTAAGAAATGAAGCAATACCACTAATGGAACCTTGCTGTGCCCACATCCTGTTAGCTCCAAAGAACCTTTTCAATCAAGTCATTAAATTCAACTAACTGATATTAAAATCAAATCACTCCCAGGTTAGTTTAATTACCAATGAACAATAAGGAAACATAAATTCCCTCAGAACTGTCTTTCTTCAGCCTGGGAGGTAGGCAGGGGTAGGCCTCAAGGAGCTGTAAAACTGCAGCTCAGGATTGTAAATTGTGGATTGGCAAAACACAAAACTTCCAGGCACAAGCACTCATGTTGACTCACACCCAAATTAAAGCCAGAGGTGCTGGATAAAACAGAGGAGCCTGCGACAACATAAATTGCAGGGTTTTACAAGATTTCTTTCAAAGGGCTTTTTTAACAACTGCTTTGGAATATATGGCCCCATTGATGATGTACTTGAGTTGTAAGAATGCAAGTAAACAAATTCAAGTTTTAGGCATGAGGACAAGGGACCTGCTGCCAAGGGCTGTGATATATTACAAGCAGCAGTACGTAATACACAATTTAACATTACATACTGGACAAGGCATCAAAGTCCAAGAAGTAATTTACTTCTGGAAGTGACAGGTAACAAAATGACAAATACTGGAAATCTGAAGTATGAACAGAAAATAACAGGAATGGAAAATAAATCAGGTAGGTTCACTGTTCCTGATTATTATCCAGTGATTTCTTTTGAAAAACATAGTTGTGTGGAAACTGGATGGGGCAGGATCAGGTTCTCAGATGTAATGCTGTGTACATCAACAGCAACATCAACCAACATTCACTGAGTCACTGACTTAGTTTAAAAGTGAAGATATAGGTGAAGTCCCTAGAGTACGTGGCATCCACCTTTAACTCTGGAGGGGAAGTATTAGTCTTTGGTAGAGAAAGAGAAATGAACGTTTCAGCAGGATTCTTTCATTAAAACTGGTTGAAAGGCTAACCTGAAACACCAGCCAGGGTTTTCTAATCTTGCACCTTTCTCTATGTATTTCCATCTTTATCCACCCTGGTCTTAAACAATTCAATAGCATTATTTTAAAGAGGAGGAGGGAGGTTCTCTCTGTTGTTTTGGCCAATATTTCTCCCTTAACATCACTAAAGTAGACTATCTGGTCATTATTACATTGCTGCTTACGGGACCTTGCAGTGCCTAAATTGGCTACCAAATTTCCTATAATATAACAGTGATGGTACTTCGAAAGTATTTAATTGTAAAATGCTTTAGAACGTCCTGAGGCGGTGAAAGGCACCATAGAAATGCAGCAAGTCCATTTTTTAAAATCAGTGATCAATTCTGAAATTTAAATTGCAAAGTGGCAATCCATTAAATGTAAACTGTTGTACTGCATTGTCTATA